ATGATTTATAGCTTAGTTTGGGGAAATTATCTCGTTGGTTTCTGCGTTAAAATACTGAATTCAGCCGTTGTGATCGGATTCTATTATGGATTTCTGACTACATTCTCCATAGGACCGTCTTATCTCTTCCTTCTTCGAGGGCAAATCTTAGGAAAGGGATCTGAAATGAAAATATCAGCAACAACCGGGTTTATTACGGGACAGCTCATGATGTTTATATCGATCTATTATGCGCCTTTGCATTTGGCATTGAGTAGACCTCATACAATAACAGTCTTAACTCTACCGTATCTTTTCTTTAATTTTGTCCACAAAAATGACAAACACTACTATTTGGGTTCGGGATCCAAACTGGATTCTGAATACAAGAATCCAAATTCAATACGTCATTTTAGGATTGTTAAAGTATTCTTTAACAATCTTTTTTTTCAGTTATTAAACCCCTTTCTTTTGCCAAGTTCAATCTTAATAAGATTAATGAACATTTATCTGTTTCGATCCAACAATAAATTGTTATTCTTAACAAGTAGTTTTGTTGGGTGGTTAATAGATCACATCTTTTTAATGAAATGTATTGGATTGGTATTAGTCTGGTTACAGCACAAAAAGTCGATCAAATATAAGATAACTATGAAATTTGATAAATACATTCTCCTACAATTGCGAAATTATGTGGGGCAAATATTTGTTGTTTTTTCATTTGTTAGCTTTGCACACTATTTAGGCAGAACACCGCTCCCATATTATTATATTGAGGAAATGATGCGATACGATGACAGGGACCTGGAGGAAGTCAAAGCTGCAATAGATTGGGAAAAGGAAGAAACTAACGAAGAAGAAGAAGATATTACTGTTTATCTTTCTGATAAAAAAGAGAATACTTTCAACAAAAAACTCGCCCCGTTGGAAAAATCTCTTGTAACTACTCTTTTCGATTATCGAAAATGGAATAGGCCTTTGCGATATATAAAAAATGATCACTTTGAAAGGGTTGTAAGAGATGAAAATTCACAATTTTTTTTCAGGTATGTCAAAGTGATGGAAAAAAACGAATATCTTTCACGTATCCACCTCATTTATCTACTTTTCTGAAAATCATGGAAAAAAAAATGGATCTCTTCAGAAGAGATAAAACCTCCTATAATGATAATGAATTGTCTAATTATTGGAGCTCTGTTAATAAAGAAAAAGGAAATAAACTAATCAATGAATTTTTTCAAAGGGCAAAAATGATAGATAATAAATCTATTAAATTTAGTCCTGTGGATGTATTTGAAAATCGAATTAGATTGTCTGATGATAATAGGAAAACAAAATACTTAACTAAAATATATGATCCTTTCTTGAATGGACGCGTTCGTGGAGAAATCCAAAAAGGCTTTTCACCCTTCATTCCAAATGAAACTGACACAACAAACTACATTTTGATAAATAAGATTCATGGTCTCCTTCTTTCTATTAATAGTAATGATCCAGAATTTGAACAGAAAATAGATCAATTTGATAGAAAATTATTATTAAATGAAATTGGTTTTTTTTTTAACTTAATCAGTAAATTTTCGGAAAAATCAGTATCAAGTTTGAATTTTGACGGACTTTATTTATTTCCAGAACATGAACAAGTAAAAATATATTCCGAAGAAAAAAAAACAAAAAGAAAATTATTATTGGACGCAATTCGAACTGATCCTACTAATAATACAATTTTTAATAGAAAACTATGTAGTGAAATAAACGAAATAAGTAAAGAAGTTCCTCGATGGTCATACGACTTAGTCGACGAATTGGCGGTATTGATGGACGCGAGTCCAAAGGAGTCTCAGATTCGTTCCCCAAAAGCTGACCGTATAGTTCTTTTTAATAGTAAAACAGATTCTAATGACAATCAGAATAGTGCTGAACCGGACAGAAATACTGAATTTGCTGTAGTTCATTATTCACGCGAACCAGATTATTGCCGAGACCTAATCAGAGGATCTATGCGCCCTCAAAGGCGTAAAACAGTAACTTATAAACTCTTTCAAGGAACTGCACACTCCCCTCTTTTTTTGGAGATAATGGGCGACTACGCGTTCTTGTTTGGTGATCTTGTCTATGATATCTCCCAATATTTGAAAGAATATTTCAGGAAACCGGGTACTGATAATTCGGAATTTTTGGCGTTTGAGAAAACGATAGAACAGAAAGAGATAGAGGAAAACAAAGACGAGTCTGAAATAAGACTTAGACAAATCGAATAAGCCTGGGAGAGCATTCTCTATGGTCTAATAATCAGAAGTTTTGTATTACTATTCCAATCAATATTTAGAAAATATATTCTATTACCTTCATTGATAATCACAAAAAATATCATTCGTATACTATTATTTCAAAATCCTGAATGGTCAGAAGATTTGAGGGATTGGAGAAAAGAAGTCCATATTTACTGCACCTATCAGGGCGTTCCAGTATCTCACACCGCGTTGCCAACAAACTGGTTCTGGGAGGGTATTCAGATAAGGATCTTATTCCCTTTTGTTCTGAAACCGTGGCACAATAAGGTACGATCTACTGAAAAAAAAAAAAATCTACTGAAAAAAAAAAAGATCCACTGAAAGAAAAAAACTTATGGTTTTTAACAGGTTATGGAACACAAGTCGAATCGTACCTTGATGATCATGTCCCAAACCCTTTTTTATTTTTGGGTCCCATTTTTAAAAAAATAAAAAAACAATTGAAAAAAGATTTGAAAAATCGTTTTTTTCTAGTTCTAAAAGTTTTTAATGAAAGAAAAAAGGGGTCTCGAATCGTGTTAGAAGAAATCGAAAATAGGTTCAAAAAAAGAGATGAATTGAGTGAAAGCAAAAAAAATTCAACAATCAGTAAGAGTAATCCAATGATTGAGGAATCGCCCGTTCTAATTCAATCTATGAATTGGACAAATTTCACAGAAAAAAGGATAAAAGATCTTAATGTTAAAACAAAGACAATCTTAAAACAACTAGAAAAAATGACAGAAGAAAAAAAAGAGGGGGTTATAACTTTAGAGATTAATTTGAATTCTACCAAAACTACTTATGATGCTAAAAGATTAGAATTACTAAAAAATAGTTTGAAAATATTAAAAAGAAGAACCGTTCGATTAATCCGTAAATCCTATTTTTTTTTTCAAATTTTAATGGGAAGGATATACATAGAGATCGTTTTCTCTATCACTCGTATTATTATGATGTCTGGACAACGTTTTCTTAATATTATTGAATTAACAGACAAAATTGTAAATGTATTTATTTCCATTTACACTAAAAAAAAAATGAACAAAGAGTTCATAAAACAAATGAAAGTATAATTCCATTTATGTCGATTATAGACAAATCTTGGAATATTACAGATATGAATTCACAGAATTCTTGTGATGTATCTTCTTTGTCACAAGCCTATGTATTTTTTAAATTATCACAAGTTAGTAATGGATATAAATATAAGTTAAGATCTATTTTTGAATCTCATGGAAGATCTTTGTTTCTTAAGAATGAAATAAAAGATTATTTTTTTAGAATACAAGGAGGAAGATTAAATTCCAAATTAAGACATAAGAACCGTCCCGATTCTATAATGAATCAATGGATAAATTGGTTAAAGGTTCATTATCAATATGCTTTACCTCAGAGCGGATGGTCAAAATTAGTACCACAAAAGTGGAGGAAGAGAATCCATGAACATCGCGTGGCTCAAAAGAAAAATTTAGTTGAATATGATTCATCTGAAAAAAACCAATTCATTTTTTACAAAAAACAAAAAAAACAACAAGTAGATTTATTAGAAAAAAAAAAATTAAAAAAATAATATGGATATGATCTTTTCTCCTATCAATATATAAATTATGCAGATAACAAAAAATCCTATATTTATGGATATAAATCACCATTGCAAGCAAACAAAAACCAAACGATTAATTACAACATACCTAAAAATAAAAAAGAATTATTTGATATAATGGGCGATAGCTTTATCCAAAATTATATAGCAGAAGATGGTATTATAGATATGGATATGGAAACAATGGAAAAAAATCTGAATAGAAAGTATCTAAATTGGATGGGAAAAAGAAAAAAGAATTCCAAAACGAATCAGAAATTATTGACTCCGAGATTTGGGTTCTTTTCAAAATTAAGTGCATATAAGAAGAATCCTTGGATCTTACCAATGAATTTCTTTTTTGTGCAGTTTTATGGAAACAAAAACATTACTGATGTAGCCAAGTTAAAGTTAGAAAAGAAAGAATACGGGAAGCAAGCAGATCTCAAATCATATCTCTCAAACTATTATAGGGACACTCGGTATAGTATAACTAGATACAGGAAGGATCTAAATGGCGAACAAAATTTCTTACTAGATAAATATTTTGGTTTTTATTTGCACTGTAAGACTCCCGTCCAAGAAACACTAATGGATAATATCAACTTATATTGTCTCCTGGTTAGATTGAAAAATCTAAAACAATTTTTCATAATGTCTATAAAAAAGGCAGACCTCGATTTTGAAATTACGGCGCGTCTGCAGATGAAGGACACTTGTTATACAGAATGTAGGGACACAGAGGAATTGAGGGACAACCTAATGTTTTTTATTGAACCTATTCGTATTTCTAGAAAAAACTATGAACAATTTTTTATATATCAAACCATAAGCATATCATTGAGGCACAAACGTAAAATTTTGAAAAGAAACTATGATTTACTTGTTCCTGAAAATCTTTTGTCCACTAGACGCCGTAGAGAATTGAGAATTCTAATTTGTTTGAACCCACAGAATAGAAATACTGTGCATAGAAACACAATAAATGACACTGAGAAAAAACGAAATAATTCTTCTGAAGTTTTGACTCAAAATGAAGATATTGATAGCGATACAAAAAAACTAATGACTTTAAAATTCTTTCTTTGGCCAAATTATCGATTCGAAGATTTAGCTTGTATGAACCGCTATTGGTTTGATACACATAATGGAAGCCGTTTCAGTATATTAAGAATACATATGTATCCTCGATTGAAAATCTAGATTTTTGTTCTATTTATCATTATCATAATATTTCAGATATCTATCTGATATCTGATATGTGAACATATATATATAAATAAATATTTATTTATATATATATATATATATATATATGTTCACATATAATTGATAATTGCAATAAATAAAATAAACGCGCACACGCATTGTGGGATTGATACGACTTCAATGATGTCTCCATTAGATAGAAATAAATCAATAGAAAAATGAATAAATCAAAATTGTCTTTTTTTATTTTATTTTTTAAATACAAGACAATAGAATTTTTTATTTTTTGAATACATAAATATAGTATTTATTCTCTATTTGAATTACATTCCTTAATAAGGAATTTGAAAAAAAAAAATTCAGAATTGTGAAAATTGTTAAATAAATTAAGGTAAAATTTGATATAAAAAATTCAAAATGAGTGTCATTACTATTACTGATCAATAAAAATATCTACCAAAAAGGAGGGGGAAAGAAAAGCTTTCATTTTATGATAAAAAATTCATTTATACCTGTTATTTCACAAAAAAAAAAAAAGAAGAAGAAAACCCGGGATCGGTTGAATTTCAAGTATTCAACTTCACTAATAAAATACAAAGACTTACTTCACATTTTAAATTACACCCAAAAGACGATTTATCTCAAGGAGGTTTACGTATAATTCTGGGAAAACGGAAACGACTATTGTCGTATTTGTCAAAGAAAAACAAAATACGTTATCAAAATTTAATAAATCGGTTGGGTATTCGGGATTCACAAATTAGGTAATTTAAAGAATCATTTTCAATTATTCGATTTATTAGATACTGAATTTTGATGAACTTTTTTTTTTGAACGATTCATGGAAGAATGAATCGAGGAAAAACCTATGAATATCCCAGCTACAAGAAAAGACCTCGTGATAGTAAATATGGGGCCTCAACACCCATCGATGCATGGTGTTCTTCGACTTATTGTTACTCTGGATGGTGAAGATGTTATTGATTGTGAACCAATATTGGGTTATTTACACAGAGGTATGGAAAAAATAGCGGAAAACCGAACAATTATACAATATCTGCCTTATGTAACACGTTGGGATTATTTAGCGACTATGTTCACAGAAGCAATAACTGTAAACGGGCCGGAACAATTGGGAAATATTCAAGTACCTAAAAGAGCCAGCTATATACGAGTAATTATGTTGGAGTTAAGTCGTATAGCTTCTCATCTACTATGGTTGGGACCTTTTATGGCAGATATTGGTGCACAAACCCCTTTTTTCTATATTTTTAGAGAAAGAGAATTAATATATGATCTATTCGAAGCTGCGACAGGTATGAGAATGATGCATAATTTTTTTCGTATTGGGGGGGTAGCCGCTGATCTACCTTATGGTTGGATAGATAAATGTTTTGATTTCTGCAATTATTTTTTAACAAGGGTTATTGAATATCAAAAACTTATTACGCGAAATCCAATTTTTTTAGAACGGGTTGAAGGAGTAGGTTTTGTTGGTAGAGAGGAAGTTATAAATTGGGGGTTATCAGGACCGATGCTTCGGGCTTCCGGAATACAATGGGATCTACGTGAAGTTGATAATTATGAGTGTTACGAGGAATTGGATTGGGAAGTTCAATGGCAAAAAGAAGGAGATTCATTAGCTCGTTATTTAGTTCGAATTGGTGAAATGGTGGAATCCATAAAAATAATTCAACAGGCTTTGGAAGGAATTCCAGGGGGGCCTTATGAAAATTTTGAAATCCGCTGCTTTGATAGAGAAAAGGAGCCAGAATGGAATGATTTTGAATATCGATTCATTGGTAAAAAATCGTCTCCTACTTTTGAATTGCCGAAACAAGAACTTTATGTGAGAGTTGAGGCCCCCAAGGGAGAATTAGGAATTTTTCTAATAGGAGATCAGAATGGTTTTCCTTGGAGATGGAAAATTCGTCCACCTGGTTTTATCAATTTGCAAATTCTTCCTCAATTAGTTAAAAGAATGAAATTGGCTGATATTATGACAATACTAGGTAGCATAGATATCATTATGGGAGAAGTTGATCGTTGAAATGAGAATTGATACAACGGAAGTCCAAGATATAAACTCCTTTTCCGGATTGGAATCTTTCAAAGAGGTCTATGGAATTCTATGGATACTTGTACCAATTTTGATTCTTATCTTGTGTTGCAAGTTAGGCATATGTGCTGACAT